CACACACACACACACACACACACACACACACACACACACACACACAGGATTGTTAACATCATACTGCCTCATTATCTGGCCTACAATTTGCATCTGATCCGCTCCAGGCTCTCATAATGTCAACAACTTTTAATTATTAGCCGTTATTAAACAAACAACATTATCAATCACATCCTGCTTCTCAGGGCAGATGCAGAGCCCAATTAACAAGAAGAAAGAGCCCAATTTAAACACGTGCTTTAGTCTGAAGGCGGTTAAAAGTAAGGCAACAAGAGGCGCAGGTCAAACAAAGAGGTAACGACATCTCCCTGGCTGTGAACACACAAACACAGCAAGGGGAACAACTGTTAGAGCAGGAAGAGAAGAGCCTTACCGGGTGTCGCCCCTGGGGAAACATTGTTGTCTCCGGGAGGATGCGACCGCTTCCTTCTTTGAAACCCCGCTTCAAGGGATCCGATTAGGGCACAGTGGGGAGCTCCAGATCACGTGCACGAACCCATCGGCCGTTGTTGTAAGGACCGACTGTCGTTAATTTGAAACAAAATCGACCGCGAAGCCGCTCCGTCCCAAGTTCACGGGCCGTTTAATGCTCCTCGCTGTCTCTCTTCGGTCGTTGTCTCTCCTCCGCTCCACCGGCGGCGCGGCCGTAAATCAACCGGAAAAACACGGGAAACCGCTCATTAGCCGGAGGCTGCTAGAGGGGGGAGGAGGGGACGGACCAGGTGAGAAATGAAAGGCAGGAGCCACCTGAGCCGCTCCGGCGTTTGTTATGCGTCCGATCCGAGATGTATTCCGAGTCACGTTGCAGACAAACAAGTAGAAAGTGGAGCCAGTGGACCCTCGACAGACTGTGGGCTCTCAGTCCGAGCGACGGAAACAAATCCACACAAGTTAATTGCAGTGAAGAGTTCCCACTTGACTCGCCGCGGTCGCTCGTTGGCGGTTGAACGGTCAACAAAAACAGAAATGTTTACTTCCCCGCAGAGTTTGAATGCGTCCAAAATAGATTACACGAAAAAAATAGGAACTACGTTGTTAGTTTCAATAAAAACAGCTCCCTGAAGCGGCGGCAGTAGTCCTCCGTCTAGCTCAGCTTTACCTCAATGGCAACTTTCTCACGCGGTTTCACGCTCCTCAGCTAACCGAAACTGTAAGCCGGCCCACAAAACGGCTCTGGACCAATCAGAGCCGCCGCTCCACGTGGGGATAGTGATGTCGTTCATACAGCTGACCAATAGCCGCTCTGTAAACTGCCCCGAGTCTGTTGACCTGGTTGAGCTACGCGGATTCTGGGCAATCAGGGCGTAGCAAGGAGCTGCCATTCCGGAGGCGCGCTGGGCGGGCAGTGTGGTGTGTGAAGGCAAGTCCCACCTGTCAATCAAAGTAACGTGGGCTCAGTCGGAGTGGGGTTTAAGATGTGCGCGTGCACATGCATGCTGATACACAAAGGAATCAGCCCTCACACATACACACAGAAACACAAATACTTTCTTTCTGTAGCTGCTGTGAACCTTCCTAACTAGTGTCATGGCAAATCAACTCAGATCTCCTTCCTCTTCTTCGACGTCTGTGCAATATAAAGTGTGCAAATTAATTTAGTAGGGCTCACTTTTTGTTCCACTTCTCTTAAAAGAAAACAAATTTAATTATGCTGCTCATCTGTTGCTGGCTACGTGTTCAAGCAGTTCATTTTCATCAACATTTAGTCCATGGCGATAGCTTACAGGGGCTGCAGGGATAAACCAAAAACTACAACTTTAATATAATATTGTGAGGTCCTGGTACCAGTTATTAGTCACTCAAAAAAATTACATTTTTCTTAGTGTGAATACAATTTCCACGCACAGAAAGGAAAGTTCCCAGGGAAATCATTATTTATAGTTATAAAATTCACAGAATGGTACGTTATCATCCAAGCATACACTCTAGACAGGACAGTGAAACAAAGGTTCCCCAAACTTAACTACAAGCATCACATAAAACAGGTTCATAAATGAAAATTTGACCTCTGCTTCTGACCCATCCTTAGCATTTTTAGGAGCAGTGACCTGCTGTAATGCGCCCGGGGAGCAACTTGGGGTTCAGCGCCTTGCTCAAGGACACTTCGACACAGGGATCAAACCGCCAACCTTGAGTTAAAGATGACCCGCTCTACCACTGAGCCACAGCCGCCCATGGTCAGAGGTGCACATCGAAAAAAGGAGAGGAGTTGTAAGGTGCACAGAAGTGAAAAAATAATTTTGATATGCTACGTTTGTGCACATATACTGACACTAAAAGGAAAAGGAACATATAGGCTTGGACTAGCCGCTACTTTGGATTGCAAGACGTTTTAAGCTGGGAGCTCTTCCTCAGGCAGCGTCAAGATGCATATTATTACATATCTCTAGAAATAAGAAATAAGTAACATTATAATTACATCTTAGCCAAAATGATGACAATACAGAACAATATTGGTGATTATACATGATCTTTTCCTAAACCTCACAAAGTATTTGTTGCTTAAACCAAAGGAGATTATTGGCAGAAAGGGCTTTCTCGCAGAAAACCTTTACCTGAAGGCAAACTTCTACCATGTGTATGCTATCAGTAAAGATGGACATTTTAATTAAACACATGAACATCCAAAAGTAGCATAATTACAGATTTTTGCATGTGCGAGTCACAGCTACAGTCAGAATAATGACAAATGAGAGTGACTTGCACTGCTCGTCCTGGACTTGTAGTCATGTTTTAATTGTGTGTAACCATCAGTATTTACGTCTGAAAAACCTGAGCAGCTGTTTACTTTGTGAAATAGGCTACTGAGGCTACATCCACACTAATACCATTTTTGTTTAAAAATGGGGTTTTACAACAGTAACAAAACAAAACAATCTCCCTCCACATGAGCATTTAAACGTCATTTGCGAAATGATTTCAATCCACACTAACACGCCTGAAAACGAACATCACGTGACTATTCACGTACACTGGGCATGGCGGTGACGGTGTAAACAGGAAGTAGATTGGTTGTGAGTATTATAGTAGTCTTAAATAATAAAAGGTAGTGCTTGATACTTAAGATCCTCTAAAATCTTCCTCTATGAACTCAAACAGATAGATTTCGTGGAAAGTTTTAGAAGTTTTATTTTTCAGACTTAGTTACATTGCTGCAGGTCTTGCTCTCCCTCTCTCTCACACTTAAAATTTTGTTTAAAATTAACACTTTCAAATCAAACTTTTCTCGATTATGGGTCAATACATTTGGTCAACACGCGTCTCTCACTCGTTTCTTCGGTTTCGTTGTTCTCACACTCGTAGCTCTGCCGGTGGCTGAAGTCTCTGTCGCACTGGAGAGCATTTATGCTTTTGTTCTTTTACAGTTTCTGTGTGGACTTCACAATAGTTGTGCCAAACAAAATAAGCATTAATAAGGAAAGGCAAGTCTTCCGTTTTGTGTCCATCACCCTCCTCGAAGCCGCAAACCGTGACTTCAGACGTTCGCTCCTTAGGGCTGATAACGCCTTTAGAAACACTGCTCGCTAATCGCTCCAATAACAGCTGCTTCATCCGCATGTCGGCACTAGTATAATTATAAAATGCAGACTTTAACTCCACAACAGCTGCTAGTATAGACAACAAGGTCAGCAACGCCTGTAATCAGTTGTCCGTGTTGAATTAACCTGGTAGTCGAACGATAATCAAGGCTGTTGTTGTTGTTTGTTTTCTTCCGGGTAAGGGTCACGTGATAGGTGCGTGACGAATCAGGGAAGGACACGTCGTGACTGCTAAGAACCAATCAAGCACCGAACGTGGGTGTCTACTACATTGTTTTAAAAATGCGGTTCCGCCTGTCCACACTAGGAGGTAAACCTGGAGTTTTCAAACGTACCCATCTTTCGGTAGCATTTCTAAACTCCTTCATTTTTGGTGCTCTAAAACGCCGGAGTAGTGTGGACGCTCGGTGTAAACATAGCAAAAGATGCGCGTTTTAAAATGGAAACCTAGTAGTTTGGATGTAGCCTAAGTGACTGACTAACGACAGATGTGATAAAGTGACCACATCATGATTGGTGAGGTGGTTTAAACTGGGTCGTAAAGCAGGCTCAGGGTTTTCTGTGCTCCTCTTATCCCGTCTAAGCACCGCTCACTTCACATTCAAAGCCCCTCAGAACCACGCTGACCTGTGATTGGCTTAGAGAGCTCAACCCCTGACCCCCTGACATCTGACCTCTGACCTCTGACCTCTGCAACGGCTGATCCAGTCCATATGAGAGACTCCTGACTGTGACCAGCCGTGACCTTTTTCCCAGCTCTCACAGACACGTTCAGCTATTCAGTGGGTGGCACTGTTAATCAAATATCTCTGTGGCGTGCACGTACAACTACACCCATGTGTGCAGGTGTGTGTGTTTGATCCCATTTTGTCTTTCTCTGTGTCTGTTGACACTTGTCTTGACGTTCCCCCTCTGTTACCCTTCATCCTAATCTGAACCAATCAGATTATCTTGCAATATTAAACAATCAAAATGTTAGCGATATTTGCTGCATTCACAGCCTAAACTGGACAAAAACAGAAATCCTGTTCTGTTATTTAGAGTTTTATGGTCCAGAGAATATGAAAATAATGATAATTAGTTATCTAAGCAGTATGTCATTGTATGCTCACCTCTTTTTGTCATTTCGATGATGCTCAGAATACTGTTTTTAAATATACATCTTTTTTTAAACAAAGACAAAATTTGCAACAGAAATAATGTTGTAATCTAGACTGACACAGACTGTCGCCTCTCCTTATATTTACTACACATCATCGCCATCCATCTGGTAACACACAGTATGTTCTCAACTCACCACAAAACTTCCCCTAAAAACCCAGATCTTTTGATACCAAATCACCAGACAGCCGTCAGTCACACATCGGGGTGCAGTAAATTAGCTGAGGACCAACCACACATCACTTAAAAGCACAGTGTAAGATCACACTTCCTTGCGCCAAAGAACAGCAAAATATGTAAACTACATTTTATGACCAAAGCAAAATAACAGGGTTTCCTGCCAGTGCTCTTTCTGCATTCCAATGATTTGTTTAAAAATGTATTTCAAGTATATGGACTGATTCATATACAGTTTCCCAGGTTAAAAGCTGTATTATCATTTCAATGTAATTACAGAAATCCCAAAGATGCTCTGCTCATAAAGAGTTTAAAGGCCTACTTTTGAAGCTTATAGATGTAACACATTGCAAACTTTATTATCTCTTATACACCAACAGCATGCTGTACAAAGGACCTGCAATTCAATGAATAGCATTACAATGCTCAGAACGCCGTAAAAGACTTCACTTCAAGGGCCGGTGTGTAGGATTTGGTGGCATCTAATGATGAGGATGCAGTTGGCAACCAACTGGAACTTCTCTCATGTGCCAAGCATGTAAATCTAGAGCCAGTGTTTGGTTTGTCCCTTGTGGGCTACCGTATGGCGGTGCAACATAATGGACTCCATGAAGAGGACCTATGTAGATGTAAACGTCTCATACTTGGCTGAACTAAAACCCAACCAGTCTTATTTCCAGGAGATTATACAATAAAGAAATTGTTGTTATTGTTATTATTACTATATTCCAGTTGTGCCAATAGATCCCTGAAATGCTACACCTTGGCCCTTTCAGGTCAGGTTGGCAGCACATTTTGTTAATTCAGACTATAGCCTGTGCAGCGAGTACGATACGATTAAGATTAACAGGATTAACACTTCAAGGTAACTATTAATGGCTTACAAAATATAGGCTCATGGTCTTGATATATAACATGTGTGTTTCCACACTGTTTGGCAACACATGTCTCAATCTGATCAGAGAGATACAACCTGTAACGTCCACACGTTCTCAGTGATACTTTCTGTTCTGCTTTAGTGATCAGACAGCAACAATCACCAGGCAAATAGGTAATTGCGCATGAGCTCACTGGCCTCCTGATTTCCTTAACAAATAGCCCGTCCCCTCATTCACTTCAGAGGTCTCTCCCTCTCCCAGAGTCATTTGTTTAGAGTGGAGAAGCACACAATTAGCCTCTGCTTTGGATGGGGTACAAGAACTTCCCATATACATCTCATTTGGTTTGCAAATGTCCCATTTCTTTCTGATTTTAGTGGTTAAAACAAATGACTGAGCTTTGTTTATAAAAGAGGAGGGAAAGAGAGCGCTGGAGATAGGGAGAGAGAGGAGTGACACGAGGGAGAAGTGGCTATTTTAGCTGTGACCCGGTCATCTTGCCTGTAGAGGAGAGAAGAGGCTCTCGCAGATAATGACTGAACAAGCAGCTTTGTGTGGGACGACAAA